TTTCACCCAAAATAAAACAAATAGAGAACCACATATGGAGATAAATTTAACTATTATAAATGTTTAAAAATGAACACATTTTACACCTATGAAGTGAAGTCAAAAACCAACCCTGGAAAATAGATAGACTCATGCATCTGCTGACCATGTAAATGAGTTCTATCCTTTGGGGAAAACCTGGACTTACGTAGCAAGAATTGTTTGTCTTACTCTTTGAACCCGCAGTGCTCTGTCTGGGAATCTGTCCCAAGGATATCGTGAGATAAGCACTTATTGAGCAACTGCGGTATGAGAAGTGGATGTGAAGGAGACAGATTGTAATCTGAAGGAGTAACGAGGGCAATTCAAACATGCTGAAACAATACATATCCAAAATGTTTTCAAAGAAGTAATTATAGTGGGGAAAATACTCATGGTAGCCTAAGTGTCTCAAAATTAGAGAACTCATCTTCCTGCATCACCCACCACCCTACAACCAAAACTCCCATGCTCTTCTATTCATACCCCTGTGAGTGAAAGGCAGTGCCAGCCCCAAGGTGCCCCCACCACAGGCCTTAGCGCTTCCCTGGCTCCTCCCTGCCTTTCACACCCCACCCCGGTTGAATCAATCCTCACATCACATGCTCCACACTCTAGCGGCCTTATCCAGGCTGCTGCCATCTCTCCTCACTGGTCTTCATCTCCCTAGTTGCATTCTTGCTTCCTCCAGGCTGTTTTTTTTTAATATATATTTTATTGATTTTTTTTTTTTTAGAGAGAGAGGAAGGAAGAAATAGAGAAAGATAGAAACATTTATCGGCTGCCTCCTGCACCCCACTACTGGGGACTGAGCACGCAACCTGGGCATGTGCCCTGCCTAGGAATGAATCAGTGACCTCTTGGAGCATGAGTCAACTCTCCATCACTGAGCCACACCGGCCGGGACCTCCAGTCTGTTTCTGAATTTCATTGAGAGCCTTTTCAAAACACAGAGCTGATCGTGGTCCTCCTCACTTTCAAACCTTTCAAAACCATCTCATCGCTTCACAACAAAGTCAAACTCTTTGTTAAGATTTGAGAGCCTTCATGGCCTGGTTCCTGCTTACCTCTGTAATCTTGTCTCTCCCCCCTCTTTATAACTCCTAACACTAACACACACACACACACACACACACACACACACACACACACACCCCACACTTTCTACCTTACAGTTCCCCCCAATTGGCACTATGGTCTGTGCACATGGGACTCCCTGCCCCTGCCCCTTGCCCCACCCCCAGCTCCAGGCTGCTGACTCCTATTTATTCCTGTTTGTTCTTCTGGGATCCTTTCATATATCATCCCCTCTAGGGACATCTCCATGATATGGATCCCTTTCTGATACACACAGACAAGGACCAGCTTAGCGGCCCACCTGTGTTTGCCACAGCACCTGACAAACCCCTCATGTAGAATGTTGTCTTTTTTAGGAAAAATTCCAAAATCTGATGTCCAAACTCTCTGCTTTCCATATAACTTGAGGCAAACATATTAGCCTTTCTAATCCCTCATATGGCGAATCTTTTATACTATTTGGTGAAGAGTGGTAGTTATAGCCATTTAAAATTATGGATAAAAGTAGTATATCCCTGCTCACTTCCTTGCTGTGCTCAGAAACAAGAAAAGATTGCTGGGACTGCCAGGCATGGGAGCATTTCCTGGGAGGAATACACCTCCAGTGGATCCAGGGAGAGGTCCAGACCAACCGGAAAGGGTCACTGTGAGAAGGAGGTGACCCGCATGAGATCACCCAAATTCCATGAGCTAGAAAACCCAGTTAGCTCCCTATTTATTCATGAAATAGTCTGTTATCAAATGTTTTTAGCAAGAGTCAAGCCGGGAGTCTTAGGAGTTATTTTTAATGCATCCCCTTGTTTTTAATGTAAATAGTATTTGTGACCCTTTAAATGTTAGTGTGAATGATACTTAAAGACAAAATGGGATCCAAAAAAAGGTAAAATGTTTCCCCACTTTTTCTGCTCCCAATGAAACACCGAAATTCAGCAGGACCTGAGCAAGTAATAATAACTCTATGAAGTGAGCACGGAGAAATCTAACTCCTTGTGCCATTAATAATGCTCCACATATAAACAAGAATAATTTCTTAACAGAAACAATCGGGGTTCACTTCAGATGCCTTCGTAAACAGAAGTTTTTCTATTCGGTTGAGCCTGAATTACCCATCTTGACCCAATCTAATTGATGTAAGTGGTAGGAATTAATTTTCTGCAGACAGGGATCAAGACTAATCCAAGTCAATCAGCGCCCTGTAATTAATCCGTGTACTCTTTTAAAAGAGAGAGAGAAATGTTGGCACATTCTCCGGTTTAAGGTTCTGCACCAATCTAATATAGAGTTCTGCAGTTTTATAGGGTTCAGATTTCAGGGTGGATTTACAAATAACAAAGGTTTTGCTAAAGCAGATGGTTATTTCCAGCTGCCAAATGTTGAGGTTTTCTTGGAAATCTGTTCCAGCCATCCATGAGTAAATGAATGATTATGTGAATTAAAGACTAAACATTTCTAGGTGCCTTTTAAATATGGTTTGAAAACCTGGGACTTATCATATTAGGTTAACATTGATTTTATAGTTTTAGAGAAATCTCTGAGAAAAATAGATAATGCCTGAAAAAAGGACAAATATATTAATAATTTTCCATAAAACTAATGTGTTAAACAAATTGTTATTAAATTGCATAAGTAAGTGAAGGTACCACGCTCATGTAAGATTTCCTTGTCTTGTAGAGGAGAAAATAAATGTGGAAACGATTTTTGAAGTTATATTCAGAGTTTGACATGAGAAGACTGTTGCTTTTACTTGAGTTGCTGCATTCTTAAGTTGTTTAAGAGTTGTTAATGCATTTTAACCAAGGTTCTAATCTTACAATGAATGCTAAGCTGCAAGAGGTGTTTAGTCCTTTGTTAAACTTCTTGAACGTTATGGCTCTGTGTTCAACAATATAGATAGGAGTCTAGGGGCATAGCAGATGTAAATCTTAAATCTGAGTTTGAGATAAATGTCAGCAACCCACACTTCACCATAGTGCTCTCTTTGAAGGATCCATTAAATAAAATTGGTGTGATAAAGTAGATCATATTTCCCATGGGAATGATTGTATAATTATGGGCCACTTTCTTTATAGATCTTATATCTAATTATAACAATAGCGTGTTTTTAAAAATTACAACAGCTGTAATAGAAATACCATGCACCCTGATTATACCAGAGTCCCCAGTGCACAACAGTTGTTCATTCATTCAGTCATTCATTCATTCTACAGGTACTCAGTGAGTATGTACTATGTGCCAGGCATTATTCCAGGCTGTGGAGATTTGATGTGGGCAGAAAGTACATGCCCCCCACCCTCACCAATATCACAGAGTGCCCTAGCCAGTTTGGCTCTGTGGATAGAGCATTAGCCAGTGGACTGAAGGGTCCCAGGTTTAATTCCGGTCAAGGGCCTGTACCTCAGTTGCAGACTCAATCCCCAGCCCTGGTCGGAGTGCGTGCAGGAGGCAACCAATTGATGTGTCTCTCTCACATCCATGTTTCTCACTCTCTGTCTCTCTTCCTCCTTTCCACTCTCTCTAAAAATCAATGAAAAAATATCTTTGGGTGAGGATTAACTATACTATATCTATATATATAAAAGCCTAAACAGCCCTTATAACCAAATGACCGGAACGACTGGTCGACCAGTCACTATGACATGCACTGACCACCAGGGGGCAGATGCTCAATGCAGGAGCTGCCCCCCTAGAGGTCAGTGTGCTCCCACAGCTAACCTCCCATGGCCGGCCAGCAGCGTTGGCAGCCGGTGGCCATTTCTTCTGCACCCAGCCCAGTGACCATTGCCTCCTCTCCCAATCCTGCCAGAGGACTGGGAACTGGGGGTGAGTGGCAGCAAATGCAGCCTCTTTCCCAGGGGGGTCAAGGGTCGGCTCTCTCCTCGGGGCCAACGGCTAACCTCCCCCATCCCATCCCTCACCCCAGCTGGCAGGCCCTGATTGGCCCAGCCCCAATCAGCCCTGATCACCAGCCAGGCCTAGGGATCCCACCTGTACATGAATTTGTGCACCAGGCCCTCTAGTGTGTGTGTGTGTGTGTGTGTGTGTGTGTGTGTGTGTGTATACATATATACACACACACTGAGTGGCCAGATTATTATGACCAGCCAGATTATTATGACCACCCCATCAGTACTTCGTTGGGCCACCTTTTGCCTTCAATACTGCGGCGATTCTTCTTGAAAGAAGAGGCAAAAGGTGGCCCAATGAAGTACTGATGGGGTGGTCATAATAATCTGGCTGGTCATAATAATCTGGCCACTCAGTG